TGTAAATTTCGTTTTTAGCTTGTCCCCCCCTGTTGGCATTTTAAAGGTGGTTTGGATTCCTCCCCCCAGATCCCTGCGGCGGGCGGGGGGGCTGGAGAATTCTGGGAGTTGAAATCCACACATCTTAAAGTTGCCAAGGTTGAGAAACACTGCAATAGAGTCTTTCAGTAAAACCTATAGCACAGCAGATTATAACCCAGGTCTTTTCAACCTTGGTGATCTCTGGATGCTTAGTCATTAATTCCCAGAATTCTCTGGCTAGCATGCCCATTATTGTGAATTCTAGCAGTTGAAGTCCACATGTGGACGTATAGGGTGGGGAACAAGTGATTGGGACATTAGACTCTCTCCCTCTTAGGAAGATTGAGCTCAGAGACCAAACTTGCAGATGTTCAATGTAATTAACATCCTTCATCGTAAATGATTATTCTCTGAGCAAGCTGGGCCTTAGGGAGTACTTGTGACTCCTTAAGGTTGCACACAGCCCTTTGGCTAATTTCAAAACTCCTCTGCAGGAGTTTGCTCTTCCTGCTTGGGAGATAAAGGAGTATTAGAAAGAGAAAAAGGGGGTGTCAGAGACAGTGCGGTGTCCTGACCACTTTTGGCCCTGGCACCATCCACAGCTTGCTTTAGCCTCCAACATCACATAGCTCCCACAGATTATCCCTGCAAGAATGCAGCTTCAGAAGATTTTGTTTTGCCCTGCCATGCCCTGTTCTAGCCTCCTGCTGCATAAACAGAACTTAGCTATTCCTCCAAGGAAAGAGCTGACCCACTTTTTCATCCCAACTCACATCCCCTGCGTTGCTGTAGACGCCTGCTGGTACGGGGAATCCATACTTTCTGTAGGGGAGTCTGTGTGAGCTCCCCAAACTCTCCAGACATCCTGTCAACCGTCTTCCTATCTTGCAAAACTGGACTGTCTGGCTCTTCCTGGAGGCACAGCTATGGCTGATCATGTGTTTGCATATGCATGAAAGATAGCTTCAGTGAGGGACGGAGAGGCTGTTGAACTCCCACCTTTGTATATACTACAGATAACTTCCAGCTCACTCCTGTCCAAATATACTTTGCTATTAGGGAGAGAAAGGTCCTGATGTCATTTAGGGTCACCACTGCAAAAGATGGTGATGCCTAGACATTGAAAAAAGTCCTGTGTCATTTCTTAGCCTTTGTGATCCAGATGGTTTTTTTCAACTGACATGAAAGGGGTCTTTCTTTCTTTTGAAATTAACCAGAGGGCTGTGTGCAGCCCTAAGGAGTCACAATGATTTCTTCTTATTTCTTACTTCTAGTTCTCTAGAATGTTCAGTTTCTCTAAATTAAATCCTGCAGTTGGGTTTAATTATGATAATATGTCAGTATACACTGTTATTTATTTACTTGACATACTGTATGTATACATTGCTCCTGTATTTCAAATAAGAATCAGAAATAGGGGCAGAGACAGACTTTGGATAATGTTTAATGCTGTGTCAAGTGAAGAAATGCCATCATTCCTGCCAATGACATGAAATGCTTCTCAGTTTTCAATATTTTTGTCTTCTTTCTTGATTTTTTGTCTTTACAGCCATGTCAGCTAAAAGTTTGCATTTCTAATAAATGAAAGCAGATAAATTCAAGAATTTGCACAGGTTTGGGCTCTTTGTGATATGATCACTACCATGGAGAGTTCCAAAGGCTTGTTATACCAGTTTGTCTTCAGTGCAAACCATTGATTATCCTTAGTTTCAAATCACCACTCACTTCCAGGCTTGGAGAGATAAAAGTGCAGAACTTGCCAGAGGTCACAGGTGGAAGAATGATCTTGAGTTATTACTGCACCCAACCTGCATACTCTTTGTATGGCATTGATCCATAATTGTTTATGAGCCAAACAAAATGCTTTCTGTTCCTGGTGTTTACTAAGGAACTGACCCCCATACTAGAATTCCTGAAGAAGAGAGATATTCAGGCTGGCAGTGGACCTCTTGCAGGGAATTCTAAGCAGTGATATTCAAGACATGTATTTTGTGGGACAACTATAATTTTCAGGTTATCCTCAGTAGATCTAGCACATACAAACCCAGTTTAAATTACTGCTATGAGGATATATGTTGGTTTGCTGGCATTCCCCAGGCAATGCTGAAGAAGATACAGTAAACAAACAAGAGCTGAGATAGGAGATCAAAACCTATCATCTTTCAGGATACTCATTAATAATTAACAGTACTTAAACAGTAGAATTTTGCAAAAAAAACAAAAAACAAAAACCCACCCCCAAATAATAAAATTTAAACCACAGAAACAACAAAAGTGCAATGATGTTATTCTTTTTCACTTTAAGATTGTGATCTGAAATGAGCCAAGTTTTAAAATGTACATGTACATTCACTCAATCCCATCATAAACTGAGAAGGCACTTGGGCAAATAAGTTACAAAATAATATTTCTCAGAACAAAGGAAACTATCCAGTGGAAAGTGATGCTTTATAAATCTGATTCAAAAGACTGGAATTTGTGCATAAGACTTTCTAGGTGGATTATGTCTTGAACCTGGCTGCTAATTAAAATGACTGATTCTGATTATGAACAGATTAAGACCCGATTACCTAATGAACCAATTCACCTTTTCTCTGAATTGTTCTGCCTGTGATAATCTTGGAAACTTCATTCAGTTTGCTATTATCATATGAATCTGGAAATCTAACATTCAAAATGCTGGTGGGATCCAGATTCTGATAGGCCCTTTCTTTGGACATGAGGCAATCAGTCAGTCGCTATCAAATGAAAACCATTTTCCTCCATTAGGACTTTTTTTTTTTAATGTAAAGTTTTAATCAATTGTTTGTACATTAGATGAGTGTTACACTGAAATGAGCACAATCCAATGCATTTTTTTTTTAAATCAAACTCTATATCTTGATGTCATTATTTTAATTCTCTGTGACTGCTCTGGAACTGATGAAAGCCAGGAGATGATGAACATATGAAATAATCTGCTTTGGGGGTTCCGACTATAATAAAAAAGCAAATTTTATAATTAAGTAATAACTACCATACCTAATTTATAAGAAGGAAGAATAGCATTATGCTGCAGATCCTTCCAGAAAATTATTACATCAGAAGACCAGTGACTATATTGGATGAACCACAGTGGGTTAGTGGTTAAGTTGTAGGACTGTGTGTGTATACGTGTGCACACACACACACACATACTGATCATCATTCTCCCGTCCTTCACACAGGAGTAGGATACATGTTCAAACTGTTTGGCTATATTTGTATGCCTTCTTATGCAAGTAGATTAGCTTTGCAGCAAATTGCTCAATGTGTACTCAGCTTCTACCCCTGTTACACAGACAGTCCTTTCACAAACAAGAACTTGAAGGCGAGCTGCATATTGCAGAGCAAATCCTCTGCATCAATGCCTCCAACTTTCACCTGTCAACATTCTAGGCCAGGAAATATAATACAAGGGCAACCACTGGGAAGGCTTTGAGGGGGCTTAGCTGATGGACAGGAAAATAAGGGAAGGGTGCTATTCTGTGCAGCGCAGCCTTGAAGATTTCCCAGCAGGAATCATAAACCTACATCCAGAAAAAAAAAAGCAAAAGGAGCTACGCCATTCCTAGTTTGCCACACGTGGGGTCCTTAAGCATTGGATTCTAAGAGGACATCCTGCCTGTCCCTGAACGGCCTAGAGTACAATCTCCATTGTCCCCCTAGTTCTCTAGCTACCAGCCCTATCAATTAGACAAGCCCTACCTGGGATTTTGGCAGGTTTTTCCTCCATAGCTGATCAGTCCTCTTTGTTTTCTAGGAGCCATGGCATTGGAACGACTGCCTTGTCACTACGGCAAGGAGAACTTTTCTTAGGGGTCAGGTTTCCAGCCACAGTGTCATTGATGATTGTTGCTGAGCTGGAGGCAAAACAATCCGGGGAGACTTTCCAAAAAAACCCCATGTGACCTTGGCAGAAAAGGTCAGTACTAATATTAGCCCTACAGTTGGAGGAAGGAGGCAGCAGCACCGGACTGTAGGGTAAGACTTGTTGTCTAGCTCAGATGGGCAGGGGCACAGAAGACTATCTTTCTTTTGATCCAAACCCCATTAAAACCATTGCCACTATTTTAGGTGAGTGTGGGGCACTCTAATAAGAAGCAGTGTGGCATTTGTGGATTTGGGCTATCAGGGCCGAAAGTCCCTGGGTGAGCTTTAGGTCATTCACTCTCTTCCAGCCCCACGTATCTCACAGGGTTGTGGCTGCGGGGATAAACTTGTAGGAGAAGGAAAAGTGGGATAAAAATTAATTAAGCATGCATAATTAACAAACAGGGATTCTTCTTGCGGGTCAAATACATAGCCAACTCTGGGAAACACCTGGCTTTTCTCAAAAGTCAGATCTAACTTGCACATGAGATGAGCAATCATAGAGTGAGGACTGGATCTAGGATAACAGTTTTGAAGAAAAAGGATTTCTCCCACACAATCATTACCTACTTGAAATTCCTCTCCATTTCCAAAAAGGCTGTAGTCCCACTGGAGAATACATCAGATATTTTACCTTTTTTCCCCCTTCCCACAGTGAAATTAATAACCCCCGCTCTTTGGAGCATTCTGCCCCCGGAGGTGCGATTGGCCCCCTCACTCCTGGCCTTCCGAAGGGCTTTGAAGACCTGGCTCTGTCACTTGGCCTGGGGTGGGGAGAGAATACTTCAAGCGTGGGGATGGCTAGCCCCATAAAGGCCTGCTGTCTTCAGCCCCAGATTCTTCATCTTCTTGGACTCTCCTTTTCCTCTTTTTT